ACGGAGGTGGAAGGGTCGGTAGCCAACCCGGGAAGAACCAGCAGCAAACCCGGGGAGGGCCGAGCAGACGAAAGAACAGCGCAGGGTCCTGTGTCGTTCCTCCACGAAGAGGGGGAGCGACATAATGGTGCCGTGACTCGGATATGAAGCCTAGGCGGGGTTTAGTGTCGTTCCTCCACGAAGAGGGGGAGCGACATAATGGTGCCGTGACTCGGATATGAAGCCTAGGCAGGGTTTAGTGTCGTTCCTCCACGAAGAGGGGGAGCGACATAATGGTGCCGTGACTCGGATAGGAAACTTAGGAGGGAAGAAACGGGAAGAAGTGGGAAAATACCGGAGAGAGAGACTAGCAAAGAGCCTAGGTGCCGGAAGAAGCTATTGAAAGCCTAGGCAGAGACTCGGATATGGACTGTGGGAAAGAAGTTAGGATTGAAAGCGAAAGTGAAAGCTTTCATAGACTCGGATGCGGACTATGGCGGGGAAGCTAGGAGATTGAAAGCGAAAGTGAAACCTGGAGGAGGCTTGGACTTGGATACGGACTGTGGGGAGAAGCCAGGAGAAATGAGAGGAATATTGTTGGAAGAAAACTTAAGGAAACATACCGGGTAGAGAAAAATGTTAGGGAGGATGAAGCCGCGAGTGCAGGCCGAGGCGAAGACTTAAGCCACCTTGGAATTCTTCAAGTCACCCCGGGGAGCAAGAGGCGAAGATCTGGAACCAGAGGCAGAGACGTGGGCCGCCAGGTTGAAATTCACCAGGTTAGTCCGGGGAACTTGGACTGAATGCCGGTGGTGGCGGAAACATTCGCGGAAGCCGCCGTGTGCAGAGAGAGCACGGGGCGTGAATAGATAGGGAACGCAGGGCTGGCGCGAGGCCGTGGTGCGGGCGCGAAGTGCGTGGAGACCGCGGAGCGTGCGCGCAGAGCCGGGAACCCGCCGGCGGGGCGAGGCGCCAGGAAGCCGCGCGGAGCCGTGAAGCTGCCGCGGGGCGGGGCGAGGTGCGGAGAAGCTGCTGCGGGGCGAGGTGCCGAGAAGCAGCCTCGGGGCGAGCGCCGCCGGGAAACCGCGGGGATAAGAGAAGCCGCGGGAAGTTTAGAAGTAAAATGAGAGAAATAGGAATGCTGGAAGATAGAAGTAAAATGGGAGAAATAGGAATGCCCGGAGATAGAGAAATAGAGAAATAGAAAGGCCTCCCCTCAACATGGCAATGAGAGAGCTTGGATTCGGTCTGCCTGATTAAGTGAGGCGATGAGCACCTGCGGCGGCTAGCAGCTTATGCGCCGCAGGTCACCGAAGACAGGCACGAATTAACATCAATAAGGCCTCCCCACAACACTGCTATGTGAGAGCTTGGATTCGGTCTGCCTGATTAAGGCGATAAGCACCAGCAGGCAGCTCGACCAGAGTATGAGCTGCAGGTCACCGAAGATAGGCACGAACCAACACTAATAAGTCTCCCCCACAATACGGCAATGAGAAGGCTTGGATTCGGTTTGCCTGATAGGGCTTGTAAGCCCCTGCAGGCTCGACCAGAGCATGCGCTGCAGGGCACCGAATACAGGCACACATCAGCGCCTAAAAACCTCCTCACAACATGGCGAAGAGAGGACCCGGATTCGGTTTTCCTGATTGATAGGACTTGTAAGAGCCTGTGGCAACTCTAGCAAGTAGAGCAGAGTGTGTGCCGCGGGACACCGAAGACAGGCGCGTATCAACGCCAAAAAATAAAAAGAAAGGGGGATCTGTGGGGAGCAAACCGGACTAGACTGAGTTACTGGAATTAAGACTTATTGTATGCATCTGCTCTCCCACAATATGGCGCTGGGAGAGAAGTAAACAGCTTCTGCACAGCTGCCTCCAGTTCAACTAATAAACTGTAGGACTTGCTACTGATTGGAGGAGAGCAGCGTACTCGGCGTGTGGGCAGCCAAGTTGGGATTGGCGGAGGAGGACTATAAAGGAGGAGAGAGACGGCATGCACCAAGGAACATCTATGGGGAACATCTAAGGGAACCCGTGCAGCCCCCGAGAGAACCGGCCGGCGGTGTGCCGCTCCCCTGCGGAAGTGGGGAATGTGGCCAGGGGGAACTGCCCTTCCACGGAGGTGGAAGGGTCGGTAGCCAACCCGGGAAGAACCAGCAGCAAACCCGGGGAGGGCCGAGCAGATGAAAGAATAGCGCAGGGTCCTGTGTCGTTCCTCCACGAAGAGGGGGAGCGACAATTTTCTTTGTTGAATTCTTTGTATAGTACGAGGATTAAGCCTTTGACTATCATGCAAATTAAAGACATGCATCTCAAAAATATTAAGTTAAAAATACTGAAATTACTTACTTTAAATCTTGATATTCTAACTCCAGGTTGTTAGCACATTGAGTCACCTGCAACTTGGAGGAGAAATTTTATCCTTGAACTTTCTACCAGAGAAGCTTCTTGCTGAGATCTGTATATATAATGAGAATTGACTTTAAGTTCAGATTTTCTTGTACTCAAATTCTGGAATGACCTTTTCTTTCACTTTTTGAAAGAATATAGTATTGGAAGTTTTAACAAGTGAAATTAGGGAGAAGAAAGAAATGGCGTCAAAATCAGAAATGAAATCAAATTATCCATGTTTGCAGATGACATGAAGATCTATATGAAAAGACTAGACCAAAAAACTGCTAGAATCGATAAGCCTTTCAGTAAAATTTCAGATTACAAAATAAACATACAAAACAGTAGCTTTTTGCATGCTAATGATGAAATTTCAAAGAAAACCATTCATAATAACCAGTAAAAAAATCAAATATTTAGAAAGAAATTTAACAAAAGAAGTGAAAGATCTCTACAGTGAAAATTATGAAACATAGATGAAAGTACTCATCAAAGATACAATCAAAATGAAAAGGTATTCTTTGCCCCATGATCAGAAGAATCAATTCATTAAAATGTCTACACTACCTAAAGCAATCTACAGATTCAATGCAATCCCTATCAAAATACCAATGACATTTTTACAGAACTAGAAAAAGCAATCCTAAAAATCATATGGAATCACAAGGCCCAAGATAGCCAAAGTGATCCCAAATAAGAAAATTCAAGCTGGAGGAATCACTGTACCTGACTTAAAAGCATACTACAAAGCTCTAGTCATCAAAACAGCATAAAAACTGATATTTAGATTAATGAAACAGAACAGAGATACACATACATGCAGCCAGAAATTACTTATCATACAGAAATTAATCCACATACATACAGCCAGCTGATTTTTCAGACCATACAGTGGAGTAAGGATAGTCTCTTCAACAAATGGTGTTGGCAAAACTGGATGTACATATGTAGAAGAATGAAATTCAATTCACAACTCTTAACATATACAAAAATCAACGCAAGTTGGATCAAAGACTTAAATTTAAGTCCTGAGACTATGAAATTGCTGGAAGAAAACTTACAGGAAACATTACAAGACATTGGTGTAGGGGTGACTTCTTGGATAAGACCACTAAAGCACAGACAACAAAAGCAAAACTAGTACATAAGACTATATCAAGCTCAAAAGATTTTGTGTAGGAAAAGAAATGATCAGTGGAGTGAAGGGACATCCAACAGAATAGGTAATAATATCTCCAAACCACCTATATGACCAAGGATTAATATCCCGAATGTATCAGCAACTTCAAAATGCTCAACAACAATAACACAAACAATACAGTTGAGAAATGGGCAAAGGGCTTCAATAGACAATTTCAAAAATCATAATGAGATATCATATCACCCCTGTCAGAATGGTTAAAACCCGAAACACGGAAAGAGCTGGCGCCAGCACCCCGGGTTCTAGTCCTGGTTGGGGCGCCGGATTCTGTCCTGGTTGCCCCTCTTCCAGTCCAGCTCTCTGCTGTGGCCTGGGAAGGCAGTGGAGGATGGCCCAGGTCCTTGGGCCCTGCACCCACATGGGTAGACCAGGAAGAAGCACCTGGCTCCTGGCTAAGGATCGGCGCAGCACCAGCCTTAGCGGCCATTTGGGGAGTGAACCAAAGGAAGGAAGACCTTTCTCTCTCTCTCTCTCTCTCTCTCTCTCTCTCTCTCTCACTGTCTATAACTCTACCTGTCAAATAAAAAAAATAAATAAATAAAAACACGGAAAGAAACAAATGCTGGCAAGGATGTGGATGAAGGGGAATACTTATATACTGTTGGTGAGAATGTAAATTAGTGCAGCCACTGTGAAAAACAGTATGAAGATTTTTTTAAAAAGCTAGACATAGATTTGCCAAATGATCCAGCAGTCCTGAAGTAGGCAGACATACATGTTAAAAATTGATTAGGTTTGTGAGCTGGAAGACCACGCCTTCACCACGCCCCTCTGCAACCTCATGCCCTACCTGATATCTTCACCACGCCCCTCTGTGACCTCATCCCCCCTACCTGGCAACACCTGGGTGCCCATCAACCAATCAGGTTAATTAACAACTCCTCTTTGGCAGTGGGTTAAAAGCCTGGGACATGGTGTGTCCGGGCCCTTCTCTTCTTCCTGGCCTTTTGCAAGGAGGAGGCTTGCTGTAGCCCTGCACTTCCAGGGAGCGTGGCCTTGGGGCCACACGCCCTAGGCTTCTTGGCCTCAATGCTCCCCCGCATGGCTGGTTTCTGATACTTGGTATGATCCAAGATTTACCTCTCTCTCTTAATAAAGCTCTGACTCTCTTATGCATCTTTCGCAATAAATAAAAGCTTAAAACGTACCATGCTGCCTTGTTTATCTGTGCCAGTATTTAGAATTCTTCTCTAAATATTAGGCAAGAACCCTCTTGGGCTTATTAATGTTGGGGATTTAGTAATAAGCCCGTGGTGAAATTGTATGGCACCCCAAATTCTGGTAGCACATGTGGCACCCCAGATAGCACTTCTGGGGAACTTTAAGGGACCGCATTTTTTTGTAAATTTTAGGGGGTCATGTCAGATTTCAGTCCCACTACTGGGTATATACCCGAAAAGCTTGAACACAATATAGCAAAGAAATACCTGCTCCACCGTGTTTATAGCAGCACTGTTCACAATAGACAAAATTTGGAACCAACAAGCTGTCCATTATTGTGGTGAAATGAGAAGGCCATGCCAAGATGGCTGCTGGCAAGTGAGCATCAGTTACTCAGGAATGGCTTCGAAACCCACCTGGCAACAGAGCCTGCCTGGCAACAGGCTGTGATTGGATGGCTTTGGAAACCACGTGGCAAAGGAGTCTGCCTGGCAACAGGCTGTGATTGGTTAGGGCATTGACCGCCCCTTGACTGGATTGGCTGCCTTGGATATTTAAGCTGCTGTACCAACTGAAATAATGAAGTCTGCGGGCTGCTTGTCTCTGCCCTGCCTTCATCCGACTCCCGGGGTCCGTGTGGTGACTCCGTGCCTCTTGCTCCCACTGTGCTCCTCCTCTCAGAATGAATCCACAGCAACACGTTATGATTAGAATGGATAAAGAAAATGTGGCATATATAAACAATCCAATATCACTCTGCTATAAGAAGAATGAAATTCTATCATTTGCAGCACAATGGATACAACTGGAGGACAACATGTTGAGTGAGATAAGCTTGACCTATAAAGACAAATACCACATGTTCTCCTTTATATGTGACAGCTAAAATTCACAAAACAAACAAAAATGAAGAAAAAAGTAAGAAATAATTTTGTGTATCAGTATTGCTGCAAATACAGCTTCATAAAATTTTGTTTTATAGATTTATGAAACCAAAGGTTAAGTATGTTATACTACTATAGTTTTATTTCCCCTATAAAGACTTCTTGGTACTGGGAAAACAATAATTTAAAAAAATAAACTAGACTGAATGCAAGTTAGACAATTCCCTTTATAAAATGTAACACTAAAAGAATATCTTGGTGTAACTTTTATTTGACTTATAGCTTCAATAAATTTAAAAGCTTATAAAAATATTATGTCACTCAATAATAAAAATAGCATCCACTGAATAATACTCTTTTCACAGAAGAAACAACTTTAAAGACCAAAAATATCTGAATTAATGCTCATCATCATTAGCTATCAAAGAAATACAGAAGATGAAAATTATCAACACTATTAATTAGTCAATGTATGAAGTATGCATACATAGTTAATCACTCATCAACTCCTTTTATTATTTTCTTTGGTATTTAAATATGAGAAAACAGATAAACAAGAATGTTGTAGTAGCTTTAATACCTGAAAACTAAAGCCAATCCAAAATATTTAAGAAAGGGGAATGGACAAACAGATGGTAATATATTCATGTGATAGAATAATGTTATCAACGAAAAGGAACATACTATTGATTTATGCAGTGGTATAGATGATTCTAAAAATATTATGCTTAGTGGAATAGAGACACAAGAAAGCACATTATTGGTACTTTAAGAATTTATATGAAATGTTGGAACAAGCAAAACTAATCTATAGCTATAGCAACCAAAAAAACATTTTCCTGTAGGGGGGAAGTTGGGTTGAGAATAGAATGGAAAGAGTTATGAAAGTCCTCATTAAGTGAAGAAATCCTTTTCAGTATCTTCTCCCTCTATTACTTCTGTTTATGCTGATACTTAGAAGTATTAGAATTTCAGTCCTTACTAGAGTCCTAGTTAATACTAATTTTATACTAATATTTCTCATCTTTTAATTTACTTCTTTTAAAATGTCATGGCATTTGGGGACAGACACTGTTTACTAAATCTTCATTTTACCTTTGAAATGTCCCATTGTTTTTGGAAGTGATCACTAGGATAGTAATAAGCCTACTTTGGATATGTGCCTGTTTCCAGTTCCACAACCCCTCCAGCTTTGCCTCTTGGAACCTTACTAGTCCCACAAGTGAAACAAGAAATTTTGATTAGATGCATTCTGAATTGCCTTTCAGCTCTGAGATTTTACTGTGTCACTAACCCCTGGGAGCTTTTACTCCCAGCTGTCATGAAAGATTGCCAGGGTCATTAAACCCTTCTCAATGGCTAATTCTTCCCCAAGAGACCCATAGACTCTGGGGCAATGAGAGTGCAAAGAGGATAGAATTGGATCAAGGTGCCTGCAATGATCCTGAGAACAAAATTGACCTTCCTTTTGACCTTGAGAATTATTTACTCCTGTATTTGAAATCAGTAATAAGAATTCATTATAGCTTAATTTTAAACATTTGCCTTCTTAGCTAAACAAAATTATTTAATAGAAGGAATAAACTGGTTTAGAAGCCAGAAACTTCCCAGAATTGACACTTGTGCAAATTTGGAAGTTTAAGCAAGATCCTGCCACACATAAGGGAAAGGAACAGAGAAGAACCTGAACTGGCTTCACTTGTATAATTTGTAAGATGCATTACCAATACTACATGGTCCTATAAATCATTTATGTGGACTTTTTTCCCTTAACAATATAGGGTAACTATTTGTGCAACATATTGAATTGGGTGTTATAAATAATCTACAGATATTTAAAGTTTATGAGAGCTTGTAAATAGATAAATAAATACTACGTCATTTTATTTAAGGGGTTAACCATCCATGAGAGTCCTATAACCAATCAATGACAAATACCAATTTATGATTGTGCAATCTTCTTTACCCATGAGTTGTATTTTTTTAAAGATTTTATTTATTGCTTTGAGAAGCAGAGTTACTTGCAGAGAAAGGGAGAAATGGAGAGAAAGGTCTTCCATCCACTGGTTAACTCCACAAATGGCTGCAACCACTGGAACTGGGCTGTCTCAAAGCTGGGAGACAGGCATTTCTTCCTGGTCTCCCATATGGGTACAAGGGCCCAAGCACTTGGGCCATCTTCCACTGCTTTCCCAGGCCATTGACAGGGAGCTGGATCAGAAATGGAGCAGCCAGACTCAAACTGATGTCTACATTGGATGCTGGGGCTACAGGCAGAGGCTTAACCTACTATGCCAAAGTGCCAGCCCTTTGTGTGGACTTCTGAAAAATTATTACCTTTATAGCCTTCAACCTAGTTAATAGATCATTCGGCAGCAGGAGTTTAGAGTTGGATGTAAACCTGAAAACATGTAAGCCTGAAAAAGAGGCAGAATTTGACATGGTGAAAAAAATCAAAGACCAAGACAATCAACTGAAAACACAAGGTTAGTTCGGTAAAAATCTTTATGCTTTATCTTTATCTTTTATCTTTATCTTTCCTACTGCATGCACACACACACACACACTCACACACACATACACTAACAAAAAACACAGAAGATTAATGTTTATAATACAGTTTCAAATCTGATTTCCCTGGAGATTCTATATACCCTTTCCATATTGTTCATCACTGATATTTCCTTCATCTTACAACTCAGGAAAACCTTATTAAATTTTCAGGAATTTTAGAAGCTGGTTGTTAAACACTATCATAATCAAACATTATATTATACAAACATAGAAAATTTAATGAACTATGTGTGTGTTAAAAACCCAGGTAGATTCCAAAATCCGTGTATGTCTTTTTGATATTTATTTTTATGGTATGATGAAAATGCTATGTGACAATGATAGGACTGTACCAACTCCATATTTACCAATGTGACTCTAGTAGCTTAAAATAGGCCACTATGGAAGTTTGTACAGAAACTGGAAGATGCTACAAATAAGAGCTTCATTTATTGCTTTGTTTATTATATAAATATAAAAATTTGCTACAGAAAAAATGAATAATGCAGATTAAACTTAAAAATGTGTCTGTGCACAATTATTACATGGTGAATAGCACAGAACATTGAGGATGTATTCATCCCATATTAAGCAATGCTTTTAAAATTTATTTAATTTTTAAGTTATTTGAAAAGCAAATAGAGAAGGAGAGAGAGAAATACATAGAGACAGGGAGAGAACTTCCATATGTTGGTTCACTCCCCAGATGTCCACAATATCCCTGGATGGACCAGACTAAACTCAGGTACCTGGAACTCCATCCATTTCTCCTATGTAGGCAACAATGACCCACGTACTTGAGCCATCACTTCTTGCCTTCCATAAAAGCACATTATCAGAAAACTGGAATTGGAAGCAGGACTAGGATTCAAACCCAAGTACTCATACATGATAAATGGATACCCCAAGAAGAATCCTGCCTGCTTCATTAAACACCTGCCCTGAACAGCAAACAACTTATATCCAATTAAACAAAGAAATTATTTACATCATTCATTGAGGAAGTGAATCCAATAAAACCAAAGAAATTATTCACACCATTCATTAAGGAAGTGAAATTCTGACCATCTTTATTTTGTCACTTTTGCTTTGCTAATTAATATAATGGAAAATATTAACCAATATTTATATTGGGGCTAACTTCTTTTTCAAAGTTGTAAATAATATATTTTGCTTAAGTAGATGCTAAATATTTATTCACAAGTTTGTTTTTGTGTCACAATTTTTGCCAATAGAAATATAAGTGTTGTGGTAAACTTTGAAAGAAATAGTGTCATGATAAAGTTATAGAAGTGTAGAATTTACAATAAAATTGTATATTTTATTTTTGTAAATTGCTACATAATTTACTTTTGTATAATTTATAAGCATACATTTTTTATAAGCATAAGTGAAGTTCTCTCCTCCCTTCAGAGAAAACTATGTCCTTCTTTGATGATCACTTCTTTCCACTGGAGTCTCGCTCACAGAGGTTCTTCAAGGAGGATACTTTTTGCCACATCGTCTTGGTTTTCCATGTCTGAAATGCTCTCATGTGCTTTTCAGCCAGACCAGAATGCCTTAAGGGCTGGTTCTGAGGTCAGAGTGTTATTTAAAGTGATTATCATTCTATGAAGCTGTCCTTAAATTCTGCTATAAATACCTCCTGCTCCTCAATCACACCTGTCCTGTGGCCTCACTTTCTTCATGCATTACCTTTAAGATTTTGAATTGTTGCTCATTTTCCACCTCTAACCACTGCCCTGTCTTATCTCAATGACAGTAATAGGAATAACAGCAGTGCCCCTGAATCTTATTCTGTTCTTTATTGTATCTCACTTAACCCTCATGACAATCACATAGATGACTGCTCTTTCAAATTCTGTTTCCCATTGGGCCTCACGCAAAGCCAGCCAGTGTAGACACACTACTGTCATAGCAAATGCAGTGGCATTCAAATAGATTTT